GGCAACAGTAGTGAGGTTGGCCCAGGATCGGACATTGTTTCGTTCTGCTGTGCATAAGGTTGGTATGAGTCAGTGCCGACTTGATGGCACCTAACAAAAACAACAACGTTTAATCTATATGCTGAGCACATCATCTGAGAAGCTGGATATGAAGTAGAACGCAACACTAGGATTGGAGGAAGACTCATTAACAACTTGTCATATACAGATGACATAAACTTGCTTGCTAAAAGTGAAGAAGACATATATTTACTGATGAAGATCAAAGACCACGGCCTTCAGTATGGGTTGCACCTAAATGTAAAGAAAATAAAAAAAATTCACAACTGGACCAATAAATAAAAATTTCACAACTGGACCAAAAATGACATCATGATAAATGGAAAAAAGATTGAAGTTGTCAAAAACGTCATTTTGCTGGGATTCATAATCAACTCTCATGGAAGAAGCAATCAAGACATCAAATCATATATCACATTACAAAAGACCTCTTCAAAGTGTTCTAGAGCAAAGATGTCAGTTTGAGGACCCAAGGCATGGTATTTTCAATACCCTTATATGCATTTGAAAGTTGAACAGTGAATTAGGAAGATCGTAAAATAAATGAAGCATTTGAGTTATTGAGAGTATTAAAAGTACCATGTACTGCCAGAAGAACAGACAAATCTGTGTTGACGAAATACAGCCAAAATGTTCTATAGGAGCCAGGATGGCCAGACTTCGTTTCTCATACTTTGACCATGTTATCAGGATAGACAAGTCCCTAGAGAAGGATATCACGATGGATAAAGTGGAACGTCAGCAAAAACGCAGAAGACCCCCAACAAGATAGACTGGCCCAGTGGCAGCAGCAATGTGCTCAAGTACAAGCATCACTGTAAGGATGCTGCAGGACCAGGCAGTGTGTCATTCTGTTGTGCATGGATAGAGTCTGAACTGACTCGATGGCACCTAATAACAACTAAGTGCCCAGATGTTGATTTCTAAACATCATTCTCCAATAAAAGGCATAAAAAGGCTTCTTCGAAAAGTGTTTGATTCCAGGGCTATGGATGGGAAAGAAATAAGAAGGTGCAAAGGCTGGGGACTTGATGCAAAGTTTCAACTGGAAGGAATTCCTAATGGTCAGAGCTAGAATAATGTCAGCACCAAACAATAATAGTATTGGATTTTAACCAGTAGAATAAAACAGTATGAGTTCACATTGATATAAACGAGAAACAGAATTTTTCATTATTGAATTCTAAGTAATGTAGAAAAGAGTGATTTACAAAACCACCAACAGGAAAACACAGAAGTATTAACTGTTGCAGACAAGCTCTATAGATGAATGTACAAATTGGTAGTCTTATATGTTTGAGGAGAGAATATTTGCACTCTCAAGTTATTTCTCCCAGCTTAACTTCCAACTTACCTCCACAAAGGGAACAATAACAATTTGACAGTAGGAAAACATGTTAGCACAACTGGAACCCAGCGGTCAGGGCTAACACATATGATGTGATGTACATACTACTATGCATCTCTGATGGAAACCTCTGGATGAGACACATTGCTCTGATATCCGTGCCCAAAACGCAAAGCCTCATTGTAATCACATGAGATCAAACAAGCTCAGATTGAAGAACATCTTGACTGGACACCTGAAATGTGTCCATCAAAGGCCATGAAAGAACAGGGAAGACTGGAGAACTGTCAGCAACTAGAGATTAAAAATTCCAGTGTCACCGAATTGATTCGGACTCATAGCAATTCCATAGAGGGTTTCTGAATATTGTCCCACTCTTCCTCCCAATGAGTGGGTGGTTAGCAGCCCAGTGCTTATCCTACAGTGCCAAAGAACAATAAATAAATGCAAGGTAAAATCTGATGTGGGACCCTGGAACAGAAAAAGAACATTAATGAAAAGACCGCTGGAAATAAATAAAAAAGTAAATAAATACCCGCTGTTCAGTCAGTAATATACACCAATGTCAATTTCCTGGTTTGAATAATTGTGCTATGGTTAAGTAAGATGTCATAACACCAGGGGAAGCTGGATGGGGAGTGGAGTCCCTGGGTGGTGCAAATGATTAGCATGCTGGTGTGCTAACCAAAAATGTAGTGAGGTTCAAGGAAGGCCTAGTGATCATCTACTTCTGAAAACTCGGCCACTGAAAACCCTACCGTGATGCACATGAGCTTACCATGAGGCAGAAGCGACTTGACAACAAGCAGTGCTGGTGAGTGAGTAGTGTCCTGTGTGCAGTTTTTCTATAGGTCTAACATTAGTTCAAAAAACACATTTAAAAAAATCTCTTGGTCTGCTCTTGTGTTTTTGTCCCATTGCAACTTGATTCTAATATAGAAAAGCCATAGCTTCAAGTTACAATTTATGTGGGGCAACACAATTACATTAGGTCTTCAGCAGAGGAAACTACAACATAATCTGGTTCTCAAAACACAACTGTTGATTGTACCACCATCTTATTCGAGAGGGAAGACCTGTTGGAAGCAAGCAGCATGAAATGCATCAACAGCAGGCTCTAAACCAAGTTTACAAACGTGGGAAATACTTTCAGACAGTAGTACTCTCTGAAACCACATGTCTGTGAAAATGATCACACAAATCCTACAATAAACGTGGGGTTCTTTTGGGAGGGGGTAGTTTAGTACCAAAAGGCTTATCTGCATAGTGGTTGGGAATGACAACTCCTTTGTGTGCGTGATTTGTATTCCTGTTTTGTCTTGTTTTTGTGGGGGGATGGGTTAAGAGCAGAAACATTTCTAACTACAGAATATGTGCACAGTTGATCACAATTTACCACAGGGGGGGAAAGGGGGAAAACCCACATTTTTCAGTGATTTCTCAAAATCAGGGCCCTGTTCTGAATTATCCATTAACTAGTAAAGATTCAGTCTCACCCCCTTACTAAAATACATATTCATAAAACTTTTACAGTTAGGCTGTTCTAGTTACAAATAGCTTCTACTTTTCTAGGACATAATTTCACTTTGTTTAAGCAAGAATTCATTAAAGAAGCTATAAATAACCTTTAAATATTTAGCCATGAATAGAGGGGTGGACTGGCATTGATGGCTTATTTTAGTACTAATGCAGAATGCTTTTTAAAAGCTACATTTTAACATGCATCAAGCTAATGATTAACACTTGCAGTGCAATTTTCAATGTTAGAGTAATTTCTCTTTATTTTAAATAATTTTGCTAAAAGTAAATATTTTACTTCAGCTATTTACTCAAATGAAAGCAGCCTTAAAGAATGAAATGTAGAAGACTAAAAACATAAGAATTTTTTTACTTAAAATTTTATTTTTTAGCATCTAAATATTCTATCACTCTCTCTCAAAACCTAATTCCAGTTAGAGTGTACACCCTAGGGGAGAAGTGTCTAACGGAATTGCCAAATCTCAGGGATCCCTTGTGTGCTGCGTATAGCATTATACATGAATAAACTATATTCAATTCTGAATCATAAAGTTCACAACATGTTAGAGACCAGGTTCCATAAAATTTTTACTTGGAGAAAAAAAAAAAAAAGGCTTCACAAATGCACCATTCTTCCAATCACTGTGACTTCCTGCGTAGGGACGATGCTATGACATTCGGAAGGAAGAGGTGTTTTTAAATAGCCACCTAACTGTAAAACCTACAGTAGAAGTAGATTTTTGTAAAGTGCCTTTAAAATGCTAAAGCAAGTAATGAAATATAATCGTTGAATCTATTTGAAATTTTAAAAGTTTCTTTAAAATGGTCCATATGGTATGCACAACATCACAGCTGGTACAAAACTGCCTGTATTTTGTTCAAAACACAAAAACAATACATATGAACAGTATTCTTTTAAAATAATTCAAATTGCTGCCACTGCATCATAAGGCAAACTTAGATAAGAATGTTGACAGTATTCAAGGAATTAACAAAACAAGCTGAATATTAAAGTTATCAAACATTTAATTTTTTTAATACCACTAATAAGGGTAAAAGAACTTGCTGCAAAATCAATTCAGGATGCCTTATTTCAAACTACATGTAACATATTTTGCTATGTATATTCTAAACAAATGCAAAACTAGGCTTTTGGATGTAAACTACCATTTCCTAAGCAGGGCTTAATTTTTCTGTTGCAATCTGGCAGCTTTGAACTTTGAAACCCTCTTGGTAGTTTCCTCTGGTATCTCTGACAGAACTTCTTTTCGTTCTGGAATGGTGGGCAGCGCAGGATGAGCAATGGCTGAGTGTGGATTTAAGGAGGGTGACAAAAATTCTTTTTCTATTACAGTTCCAGAAAAGGCCTAGAAGAGAACATTCAGAAGGTAGTACAATGGGAATACGAAGATGCCCACAAAATCTGTCCTGTATTCACTAATTGGGTTAATTTCTTTCCATTAAAAGTAAAGTAGTAAGATTTTTACACAGAAAGATGAACAATGACAATCTAAATATCAACTGTCCAGAAAATTCAAGCACCTTAAAAATATCCAATTATACCCCACAAATAATCAGATTTGTACAGTATACATGTAAGAAAACAATGCATATTTTATCTAGGATAAAATGTATGGACTTACAAAGGCCCTCACTTTCAATCATTCCAGTTACAGCCAGTCCATGCTGTGGATAATAAAGCATTAAACCCCAACACGGCTATCAAGGTGTCAAACTTAGGCTTTTGTATAATAGCTGATGAACGAGCCGTTCTAGGATGGCCACACTGACCGCAAACCAACAGCTGTGTTTCTGTAATACAGGGAACTTTTTGGTGGCGTCCATTTTATGAAATTATTTCAAAATTTTATTGCATTTTGCCTCAATTTTACTTAAGAGATCAGTGGAAAGCTAAAAAGTTAACATACCAATACTAGGAAGGAATAAATGTTTTGTTGTTGTTAAGTGTCACAGAGTCAGTTCCAACTCAAAGCGACCCTGAATAGGGTTTCCCAGGAGTGTCTGGTGAATTTGAACTGCTGACCTGGAGATTCAAATTGATCTTGTGGTCTAGTGTATTATCCTTCAGTACCACACCAGAACTCCAGGAATAAGCAAAGGTCTCAAATTTACTATAAGTAACTATGTAAATCAAAAGAGGTTCCATAAATGATTCTTTAATTTCAACTAATGTTGAATGAACAGATATATGCACAAATGAGTGTGGTGGCTCTGTACAATAAGCACTGGAATACAAACCACAAGGTCAGTAGTTCGAACCCACCAGCCACTCTGCAAGAGAAATGTGAGGCTTACTACTCCTGGGAAGATTTACAACCTCGGTGTAAACCTGGGTGTGTGCTGTCGAGTCAGTTCTGATTCACAGCGGCCCTGTACAGGGGTTCCGGGTTGTAAGTATTTACAGGAGCAGAAAGCTCACAGAGTGACAGGCAGAGTGGAAAGCGCTGACCTTTAGGTTAGCAGCCCAGCTTGTAATCCAGTACACTAGCAGGGCTCCTCTCCTCTCAGGAACCCTACACAGCCTTGGAACCCCCGCACAGGACTGCTACAAGTCAGAACCACTCCAGAGCACATTACCACCACCACCAACCATCTTTTGATCTCACAAAATACCAACTGATGACAAATGCGGTATGAAATGATGTTTTAAATGCATACAAACCAACCTCAGGTGTTCCTGACAAGGGCAAGCGTTTCTTTGGATGGTTGTCTTCTTGCTGTTCCTCTCGCACAGGGTTCTCATTACTGTCGCTGCCAGTGGCTTCTTCGTAGCTGGTGCTCCTCAGCACCCCCCGCCTGTCGTCCAGCTCAGCAGCACTGCTTTCGCTGGTGTCACTACACACACTGTTCTCTCGGCTCCGACACTTCAGAATTGACTTACGAGGAAAATACTCTCCATTCACAATATCAACAAAGACTCTGTAGTATGTAAACGAACAAACCAAAAGACTGATTGTAAAACTGGGGCTACATTTACAACACCTCACTTGTATCGCTTCTAGAAAGTCATCTGAAATAGTGCACTCAAACTTTATGGTTAAATTTTCACATTCATAAATAGTTTTTCAGCCACAGAGAAAACATTTTATATTATTTTGAAAGATAACATTTTTTGCTTCAGAGTGGCAATAGTCTGAGTTACCAGATTTTACATACAGAGAATTAAGATTATAAAACATTTAGAAGTTTTCACTAATTTGAAAACCATGTTGCTATTGTTCAGTGCCATCGAGTCGGTTCTGACTCACAGAGACCCAGTACAGGGTTTCCGAGGAGCAGCTGATGAGTTTCAGCCACTGACCTTGTGCTCTAAAGTAACCTTGTGGTCCCTGCGCTTGCCCCAAAGCGCAACATGAGTACTTTCAAATGGTAGCTTTCAAAAAACACCACAACAAAACAGTTAAAAGAGTGTAACTAAATTCTACCTTGTAAAAACGTAAAAGCACACATCAAGCCTAACCCACTCGTCAAACATGTCAGAGCTATGGTAGGAAGTACTGCCCCGTCCCTCAGGAACACACTCTCTCTACAGGGAAAACACAAGACTTTCTGACTGGGCCAATGGGAATGCTTTAAAAGTACTAATGTAGGCATAGGAGTCCTGATACATCACTGTAGAATAAGCACTAAAGCACAGGATCAGCAGTTCAAACTCACCAGCCGTTCCTAGCAAACCCTACATAGGGTTCATTATGAGTCGGAACAGGCTCGACAGCACTTGACGACGACAATATGGATAAAAAAGGTGAAAAATCCATAGAACATTCCACTGCTATATATAGTAGCTCAAGCAGTAACTCCTGGGAAAGCCTTTAGAATGCTGAGCTAATTCCATCAGAACACGTCAGTTTGCAGTGAAAGCCTTTGGAGTTACACTTAGCCTTTACCATAAATGTTGTGAAGTGCAACTGAGTTGGTTCCGACCCATAGCAGCCCTGCATAGGGATGCCGAGGAGTGGCTGGTGGGTTTGAACTGTCACCCTTGCAGTTAGGAGTATAGTTGCCAAAAACAGTCCATAGTAAAACTGGAGAGGGAAGAATGAGAGAGGGCTGGTGGTCTGTGACTACCACTCACCTGTAAATGTCAGCAGGTGTCCTGATCGTAGGCAGCTCATGGGCAGAATGACCACCACCAGAACTGTTCTTCCGCTTACGTTTGGCTTCTTCTTTCTTTTCACTGAACTTTAAAGTGGTATTTTTTCCAGTATTTATTCGAACCTAAATATTTCACAGCAAAAATTAAGATCCTTTTGAGAAATCAAATCAAGGCCAAAACTAAAACCAATAAATTCTACCAGTGATGAAATAACAGTGAGAGACATTTTGAGTTTTGACACTGAAATGAAATGCATTACTGGACAGGGTAAAAACTAAATCCATAAATTCCCCACCTTGGTTTAAAGAACAGGCCCCGCATGACTCCATCTTCTTTCATCACTAATGCTAGTCTTCAGTGACTTGATTATGTATAGACAGTAAAGCTCATCTACACTAAATGCTAGTGCTTTAACATGATTTCATTACTTTTGATACAAGTTTTGGGCTTAAATCGTGTATTTCAAAATAAAGGGTACACTTAACCAAAAGAAATTTTAAAAGAACATAAAATTAAAACAATAAAAAGATACTAGATAATACTTAATTAGCTATGTAGAACTTTCAAAAGATCTCTTATTTTTAGACATTAGATGACTTAAAATAAAACCAATCTTATTTAGATTAACATTATTCTTCTATCTGTCCTCAGCACTGGCACTATACTAGCTACATTAATAATTGTTACTCCCTATAACATTCCTGCAAACATTACTTAGTCTTACTGTTTTTTCTAAATAAAAACAACAGAAAGTTCTAAGCCTGGAAAAACAATCACAAACTTTTTCTAGCTAATCATCTCAGACATTTTTTTTTTTTTTACAAAGAATTCAGGAGATGTTCATTTAATGAGAAATGTCAGGATATAAAGTCATCTGATTAGTTTATTTCATATAAAAGCAAGGACAACTTAAGGAACCTAAGAAATAGCAAACCTGTTTTAAACATGTTTAATCATCACAAACCCTTGTTTCTGACAAGCTAGCCCCTGTACGGTAGGAGCACTGCCCTGTTGATTGCTAACCAGCTCTGTGGTCTTTTAGACCTCATGTTTCCCTGAACAAGAAGAACTGGAGAGATGACATCCCTGCAGCTCCTCAGAGCAGTAATGGAGCAGAAAGGGCCACCCTTCAAACACAGCCAACCTGCTTTGATCTATCTTAAATCCTGGGATTCTACAGTAAGTTTGGGAGTGCAGTATTGGCTCTGTAGGATAAGCAATAGATTGCAAACCACAAGTTTGGAGGTGCTGCTCTTCAGGAGAACGATTGAGGCTTTCTGCTCCCACAAAGACAAATATACATAAGCCTTGGAAAACCTATACAGGGGCAGTGTGAGTCAGAACCAACTTGAAAGCATTTAGCAACAATAACCAAGTCTGTAGAAAACAAAAAGCTTTTGACTGGGGGGTACGGGGGGCGGGGATTGCATGGAGGGGATTGTAACCATGGCAATGAGACGATATACGATAGAATGAATGTAAAACTACTGTTCTCCCATGTAAACTATCACATAATTCACAATAAAACATTTAAGGAAAAAAAAAAAGAAAAAAGCTTTTGATACCAAAGAAAGGCTTCAAAATCCTGTATAAGATCTCCACAGCCAACCCTGAGCTCGAAAACGTCACTTTTCTAAAGGCATGATTACGTACAGATGTTTATATTTACTTTGTCAGAAAAGGAACTAATTTTTACTTCCTCCTTCAACATTTTCCTTTTTGCTCAGGATACTCCTATTCATTTTATGCCCAGAGAGAAAACAACAACCTGGTATAATTAAAATTTTAACTAATGCAGTCACTTTCAACTTTCTAAACACAACAAAACATCCACAAATTAACTCTAGGATTCTTAGAAAACTTTGTGAAAATAAAAACAAAAACAAAGCAAGGAGTTACAGTAGTTGTCACTCAAATCTGATCCCTGCCAGACCCCAAACACCTGAAATTCCCATTCAGCCTTCAGAGAACAAGGGACCAATGCTAGTTAACTAGTAGACAGTGCTGTGGGTTTTTTTTTTCATCAGAACAAAGACAAGAGGCGGTTTTGTTGTTTGGCCCTATCTGCAATATTAATCACTGTTATAAATGCTCTTTTAAAGACTATCATAAATGTTGCTTAATGTTCAAGCTATATGCAAAATAGTCAAATAAAAAAATAGACAAACCCTCTTAGGTTCCACAGTATGAGAAAAATATATCGTTGGTACAGAATTATCTCCAAGCCCTAAAGCATCAAGTTCATTTTCATTGTCACTATCTTCTTCATCATCCTCTTCTTCATTACTATGATAAGAATCTGAACCATTCACTAAAGAATTCAATTGACTATCCATTTGGCCATTGAACCGTTCCAAGTCCTTAGGACAACTGCTGGGGACAAGAGAGTCTTTGCCTTGTTGCATCACATTCAGATTTGCGTTTTGATCCTCCTTTTCCTCTTCAGAAGAAGTCATCTCTTCCCCATTTGCAATCATAGTATTAGGCCGACTAGTACAGAAAACAAGAGAAAATGAACAAGATCTTTTGTACTTGTTTTTTGTGCTTTGTGTCTTGATTTTCACAGAAACTAATTCCAACATATGGAGTACATTACACTTCACGTAGCACTCTGACAATTCAAACTAGTGCTAAAGTGAATTTCAAATAGCAACCTGGTCAAGTTTTTCGTATAAATAACCACCTAACCAGATTGCAAAGCTTTTCATACATGCAGCCACCTAACCAGACTGTAAACTACCTGCTCAAAAAATAGCAAAGTTAACAAAAGGAAAGTAAGGTACAGTACTCTACAGTGTTATTACAGTGTTATGTAGACTCAGCTCTGGACTGTGAACCACAGGACCAGAGTTTCAAACCTACCAGGTCCTCCTCCTCGGGAACCCTGCACAGGATTGCTATGCGTCAGACTCAATGGCACTTACACAACAAAACTGTGAGGTGCCATAGAGTGGCTCTGATGCCTAACAAGCTTGTGTATAACAGAATAACACAAAGTTCTCTCCTTACAAATTTAAAGACACAACAGTATTTGAACGTAGTATAAATATATGTAAATTAAATAATATATTGATACTTAATATAGAAAACATTCAAGATATGTCCTATTATTTTATTATATAAAAGATGGCTGAAATTTTTAAATAACAGAAGGGAGGGATGTTGATTTTTAAGCACTTATGTATACAATAGGAGTCCTGGTGTGGCATTGTGGGCTAAAGCACTGGACAGCACGGTCGGTTTGAACCACAAGGTCAGTCATTCAAACACTTCAGCAGCTCCTTGGAAACCCTATACAGGGTGACTATGAGTCGGCACAGACTCAACAGCACTTAACAACAACAGGTCTACAATAAGCACGGCTCTATGACCACAGAGAACATTCACCTTCAGGGTTAATGATATTTAACATCAATATAAATACTCTAGCCTTCGTGTGGTGCTGCTAGATTAGCACTAGACTGCCAACCACAAAACAGAATTGGTAGTTCAAACTCACTAGCTGTTCCTTGGAGACACTATCCAGGGTCACTATGAGTAGGAACCGACTCAAAGGCACTGTACAACAACAAAGGTACTTTAGTTCTTTTTATATATACAGACATTAATATATATTGTATGTTGTTGTTGGTTTGAACTGCCAGCCTTGCAGTTCAAACTGACCTTGAGGACCAGTGCTTAACCTACAGCGCCACACCAGGACTCCATTTAGTATATATCCATATTTTAAAAACATATTATGCCTTCTGGTATTTTCATCAGTACGCTTATTTTATTAATAAGGAACAAAAGAAATGAGAAAACATATGTCCTGAGAATCGAACTCTCTTGGAAAAACAATTTGCCATTAGGTACCTACCTATCCAGTTCACCCAGCAATTCTTCTTGTTTCTCGAGTTCTTCAAGTCGAGCCCAAAGTTCCTTATCAGCAAGCAAATCCGTGGATTTTAAATGATCTGTAAAATCTGCTTTAAAAATATCTACACTTTTTGGCTTGGAGTGAGGTTTATGAGCAATTCGGTGTTTTACTAGAAAAAAAGAGAGGGAAAAAAAGATAACATTTACTAAGACCAACTTAAGAAAGGCACAAACCTAGAATTAGTAAACCAATTTAAAAAAAAAGGGGGGGAGGGGGAGTTGGGGTAGAAGAGGCATCATTTTTAAGTCAAACAGGAGAATTCCAAGGATGGTTGTCTGGCTACCTAAAATGTAATTCATGGACTAACTGCACTGGGAGCCTCCCCCAGACCTGCTCAGTTAGAAGCTGGATTTGAACAAGCGCCCTGGGAATCACAAGTCCAGTGCAGATTGTGAAGTAGGCTCTAGGGCTTTAAACCTGCATGAGTAGAACCAGTCACAACGTACTCTGGCTCTACAGCAAAATCCAACACAAGTAACATCCATTTTTCATCCTTACTCGAGGGACTGCAGCTACTAAGTAACACGCCAAAGCCTTGTCACAGGGTACTTTCAACCCAACGGCACTGCCAGACATGAATACCTTACAAGTCAACGATAAAGAGGCCAATCCCTGGGAAGCTCTATTATAGTTCTGTCTGTGAACATTTCTACTTCTTAAATTGCTTTGTTTTATGCATAACCTTCACGAGAGGGCAGGGGATGGATAAAATCTCTCTGTTATTCCTTTTTTAAAAAATCACACTTTTTTTTATAAAGTAAATGAAAGCTTTGAAGAAAGCAATGGGAAAAAGTCTAAAATGCTCTTCGTAACGAGATATGACACCACTAGATGACTTCAAATCCATCATGTTTTCAAATTTACAGCAGTTTTCTCAATTTGGAAACACTGAAGTATGCTTCATAGCATTATTCTTGTAACTACTGTTGATTAAAGAGCTCTGGTAGCACAGTGGTTATGAATTGGGCTGCTAACCTCAAGGTTGGCAGTTCGAAACTACCAGCTGCTCTGCGGGAGAAAGATGAGACTTTCTGCTCCCATAAAGATTTACAGCTTCAGAAACCCTGTACAGGGTCACTATGAGTCGGAACCAACTCCACGGTACTTAACAACAACATTGTTGATTAAATAAGTTTTTATGTGTTAAACCTGCAGCATATGTAACTTCTATTCATCATCACACACACACAAAAACCACACCTCATAACTTGTCTTTCTGCTCTTTGTTTTTAAATACTGTCTCCTTTCTTTCACTTTCTAAACCCATTTTCTGTTACTGGTGATGCTACTTCGTTATAGACATTGTACCTAGACTATAACTTCTAAAAGCACCACTACTTTCGATCAATATCATGATCTTCAGGGTTGATTACCAAAATGAAAGCTTCAAGTAAAATGCTAAAAATCAAAGTCTGCAGCAGTGACAAGGAGCTCTGCTAGCATAGTGGTTACAAGTCGGGCTGCTAACCTCAAGGCCAGCAGTTTGAAACTATCAGCCATTCCATGGGAGAAGGCGAGGCTTTCTGCTCCCGTAAAGATTCAGTCTCGGAAACCCTATGCAGGGTCGCTATAAGTCGGAACCAATTCCCCAGCACACCATCACCACCATTTTACAACAGGGAAACCATTACTTTTACAGAAGTAAACTTAACATGTACTGCATCCTTGGCAAAAGAAACCTATTGATTATATTCCCTATATGACCCTGGAAACACCTGAGCAGGAAACAGCACTATAAAATGGGCTTACAATCATACTCATTCTTTCTTCCAGTAACAGCATCGAAAGCTACAGTTTAAAAAGGAACAAAAGCTAGTTTAAAAAATATACCTGTGCAATTTTTGACTAAGGTCAAAGGCTCAAATTAGGAGCCGATCCATGTCTAGAATACACAATTGCTGAGTCTTAGAGATTTGGCTCACTAAAAGGGCTTTTTCAAAAGCCATGTACTTCCACGACTTAAAGAGATCAGTCCAGAATCAACTTTTCATCCAAATTATTCAACCATTAATTTTTGCTATCATCTATTCACAGAACAAATGTTTACACTGTATGAGTTTAAAATATATATATATATCACATGATAAATCCCAAATACATCACACAACACTCCTTGAAAAATCAACTCCAGTGACAAATATCTAAATAACTATACATGAAACAATCTTACTGCTTACCTTTAACTTCAAAGCCACTTTGAATTTCTTCTCTTATATCAACAATATCACCTGCAGCCTGATTTTAAAATAAACAAGAGAGCACATTAACAATTTCCAACCGCAATATTTAAAGTTATTAGAGGTTCAGTCATACAACCTAAAATGTCTGAAAGCATCTGAAACTTTAATTCCTCGGCTGTAAGATTATTTTCAGTGTGTAAAATATTTCTTTGGAAACTGCCTTTAGCTTTATTTTGAAGACAAAAACAAATACTCACGTCACTCATTTTCTGTAAATCTTCTGTAAATTCAACTCTTGACTCAAAACTTTTCATGACATTTTTAAAATCATCGATTGTTTTTCTTATAT